TCTTTAGGAGAGATAACTTCGAAATCTAAATTGCTATTAACAACAAATATTTAGGGAAAATAGGGAAATGGAATGAAGATATTTGAATCCAAAGATATACAATTTATTATTTTTTAAATCTGTGTGTCACCTTAAATATCATAGATATGAAATGGAGGCTGTAGTTTATTATGGTCTGTGTATGCAAGGCACATGCCTAATTTTATTTTGCAATATGCTACTGTCGTTGTCCTTGTTTTCACAATTGACCGTGTTTAGAATTGAGTTTTTAAAAAAAATTTTTTTGTCATCCTTACACATTTTTACTATTTGCTTTAGTTTAGTTTGTTTATTTAGCAATGATCCACTACAGATTATGAACATATGGGTTATGTTAGTTTTTGTTCAAACAAGGCACTTATTCATTATATCTATGTTGGTTTTTCCGTGGAAAATGAAGGGATGGTTAGTGATAACCCTTAAAAAAAAGGCCAAGGGGATAAAATCTACTGCAATGCTTGCTGTTGATTGTGAAATGGTTCTTTGTGAAGATGGGACTGAAGCTTTAGTCAAAGTTTGTGTCGTAGATCACAATTTAGAGGTAATAGTTTGTGCTTGTTCTTCCTTTTACTCTGTCACTCACGTCAGTCCCCTCTTCCCTACCTGCCCAAAGATTGAGTTTCTGTAAGATTGATAATTCTAGAACTTTTCAGGTCAAACTACTCGAACTTGTTAAACCGGAGAAAGCAATCGCAGAGTACAGAACAGAGATTACTGGTGTCTCTTCTAAAGATCTAGAGACCGTGACTCGCTCCTTAGCTGATATACAAGTAAATTTGTGGTTCATTTTGTGGTTTTCCTGTATCATCCTTTCAAATGCTTAATGAAGAAATGTATTGTGCTTTCCTAGAAATCGTTGAAGAAGCTTTTATCCAGTGGAGCCATATTAGTGGGACACAGTTTACATAATGATCTAGGTGGTAAGTGTCATGTACATTTTATTTTAGTTGTGTCCTTGAATTGACTACTGCTTGTTTCTGTGTATATGAAGGGCATGGGTTCTGCTACATTCTTTTTCTTGGTTTCATTTTATTTACTAATTGTAGTTATTTGCAGTGCTGAAGCTAGATTATCCTAGAGTGGTCGACACTGCATACATCTTCCAACCCATGGATGGATCTACTTACAGGAAACATTCTTTAAATAGTTTGTGTCAGGCAAGTTGCAACTTATTTAAATGCAATGCAAAGATTATGATTCTGTATTAAACACCATCTATGTTAAGAAGTATTATTACGCGTTATGCCCATATAGTTATTTTCTTTGGAGGAATTTCGTTAAGACTGTTGTTTTGAATGAAGGTCGTTTATTGTGCAATTTTGCTTGTTTATGCTTTGGAATTTAAAATAGTACACCGTACAATCTCACAAGCAAATTACGGTAGTAAGATAAATGAAAAAGAAATACTGTAAATATTAATCTAAGATTCACGGCTTGTCACTTTTTGTTGTGACAGGCTGTGTTAGGCCACGGAGTTCGGAAAGAGGGTGCTTCACATAATTGTCAAGACGATGCATGTGCGACAATGAAACTTGTTCTTGCAAAGATCAAGCATGGTGTTGATAAGCCATTTCCGTTAACATTGGTTCAAGAGCCTGTAAGTCATTGTATTGTATACATTTTCTGTAATGAGTTGTTGTTATTATACTCATGGTGGTTAGTAACTATTGTCATCATCGTTTTCTGTTGTCTCATTTTAGGTTTCAGAAAGTGAGATGTCGAAGCTGCTTATTCACAGAATACCAACCACTGTGAACAGTGAAACACTACACGAAATTGTTCCTGGAGACTTCACAATAGAACAAAAGGTATAGTATATTAGTATGTCCTATCAGTATCCCAGTATTTTGAGGAAGAGGATCATCAGTAATTATTGGACTATTTTCCTTGTTTGAGTTCTGATCCATTACAATTTGCTGCAGCCTGCCAGGAATGGTCAAGTAGACAAGTATTCTGCCTTAGCTATCTTTAAGAACCAACGAGAGGCACATGAGGCATATGAAAATGTCCAAGGCAGCCAAGGAACGGTACATATACTATATACCAATATTATTGATGCTACTTTGTATTACCGAGTTTGTTTGTTGGTTAGCTTAGGAAAAGAAATACATACCCATTGATTCCATTCGCTACCGCAATACTTGTCTTCACTTTTTCTAATATAGCTGTTTAAATGTTTATACATCTATCTAAATCTCTTCCCAAAATCTGATTGCAAAATAACTTATCCTTGAGACTGACGGTTAAACAAAATGGATTCCTTTTTTTCGATTCAAAGTTTCGTATAATAAATTGACGTTGTAGTTTTATATCACTGAATTTTAAGTATGTTGCATCCCTTTTTGATCAATCTCATACCGGTCAGTGACGTGTATTACTTTATGTTAGGATTCAAATGGGCGTCTACAGAAACTTGTAAAATGTCGGTTGAGTACGGGCGAAAGTGTAAGTATATATGTTCGGAAAATGGGAGTTGATAATCACCACATAAAGAGAGATTTACAAGAGGACGAGACACTTGACTCATCCAAGAACAAAAAATTAAAAATGGATCAAGTTGAAGAGGATTATGCTCTGAAAGCTTTACAAGTGAAACATGAACTTGAAAAGAAGGCCCATTTGAAAAAGATAGAAGCACTGAATCAACTTTTGAAAGAAAGTGAATCAAAGCACTTGAAGGAGATTGACGCATTGAATAAACAATTGAAAGAAAGTGAATTGGAGATTGAATCGATGAAGGAACAATTGCTGAATCAACGATCAAAGGAAAGTGAGTTGGAGATTGAAACAATGAAGGAGCAGTTGAGAAAAAAGGACTTTGAGATCAACACTCTACATAAAATGGTAGATACCATTCAAAAAAGGCGAAAACTATCTACAAAAAAATTAGGCACGGGGATTTGATAACAAATTCAAGAACATGGTATTCGGGTGAATCTCCTGACTTTGTTCATTTTTAACCAATTTAAATTTGGAATTGGAATTATGACCTGAGGGACAAACAAGTGGAATGATGTATGTTAACAATCATCAACAACCTGGATAATTTATATTTGTTATATTAGGATTCTGTCTTGCAGTACTATATTACTGTTTGAAACGTTTTATGTAATATTGACTAAATACACAATCTATTCAGTTGGTTATGGTTTCATCCTTTTGTTGTGCAAAGTTTATATGTTCCTTGTATGGTGCAAATCATACATAGCAAATACACAATCTATGGTTTCATCCTTCTGTCATGCAGTACTATATTACTGTTTCATCCTTCTGTCATGCAGTACTATATTACTGTTTCATCCTTCTGTCATGCAGTACTATATTACTGTTTGAAACGTTGACTAAATACACAATCTATTCAGTTGGTTATGGTTTCATCCTTTTGTTGTGCAAAGTTTATATGTTCCTTGTATGGTGCAAATCATACATAATTCTCTAGCAAAAATCATATAAAGTTTATAGGTTCCTTGTTGTGTACAATTTATATGTTGTGTAAAAAATCATATAAAAATCTTATAATTCTCGAGCAATAGGCAGGAGATTATTTCTAAGAAGTTGAAGGATTATCGGGAAGCTATGAAAGTCAACAAAAGAATCATGGATTGCAGCATGGTTGAGTTGAAAATCCAGTGGGTGTGTCCTATGCTGGACTTTGTTTAAGTTAATGCGGTTGGATCTCAGGTTGGATCTCATAATGTGGAAGGGGGTCTCAGGTTGTGGAGGGATTACTAGAGATGCTAATGGGGTTTGGCGTGGGGGTTTTGACAAGTGTGTGGGTAGGTGTAGTTTGTTAATGGCAGAGTTATGGGGGAATTTATGAAGAGTTGAAGATGGTGGTAGAGAAAGGGTGGTCGAAAGTTATTGTTGAGTCGGATTTGAGAGAAGACATGGACATTGTCATAATATTAGTAAGTGTATGATCACCAATAGTAATTTGGTTTTCCAAACTCAGTTTAATGAAGAATTTAGAGATGGTGGAGATAAAACATATTTATCGAGAAGCCAATGGTAAGAAGCTAATTGGTGTGCTCACTTACTAGCCAATCATGGGAAGGAGATGAAGAGTGGTTATAAAACCTTTCAAGACATTCAAACTTGGCTTATCAATAATTATGAGAATGATAGAAAATGTATTTTCTATCTTGGAGTTGTTTTTGTGTAATTTTTTTCTTTTTTAGACTTGAGCCCTCCATGTTATAAAAAAAAACTTTATAGCCTTTTTAATGATGACTGTTTTTACGCTTCTGGTCCGTTTTATTTTTGTGAAAAGCACTTTGACTTGTCAAAAAGAAAAAAAAGGAAAATATCACAAAAATATCACATTGACCAACTAGTTTGCTTGCCAATCAAGCCAATATGAAAATTTGTTTCACATTTTTCATGTTGTTCCTTTTTGAAGACGAATGCATAAAAATGGTACACGTTTTCCATAAATTCAAGTTTAGTCATATAGAATTCCATGAATATTTAATTAAAAATAAATATGTGCAAATTATATATTATTTGTATTTGTATACTTAGTGCTATTAAAAATAAAATAATATTTCACTTAAATTCCATTTTATTTGATTAACTAAATCCTCTATTTTAATTCTTATAAAAATTCTTTAGTAAAAGTTAGAACACTAATTTGTGAGTAATCCATTAGAATCAAAGTGATAATAAATCAACGAAGTTAATACACTTATCAAACTAATTATTTACTTTCAATTATTTGTCAGTGTATCTTTTTTAAACTCATATAAATATATAAGGAACAATATATTTTATTTTTATTGTTTGGGTACCCAGCTTGATGTATAATAAAAATTGAGTTTCTTCAAATTGGTGTGCTCTCGCTCTGAGAAATCAAAGCCATCTTGAAAAGCGTGAAAAGCATAAGTAACAATTTCTAGGGTTAACTTTTTGAATCGGTTTCTCTCTTGGCAAATACAGCGTCGTTAGGGTTGCTTCTTTCTGGAATGGGGGCGGAAATTCCAAAGGATGGATTGAAGGAGAAACTCGACTATCTTTCACTCGTATCCAAGGTATGTACCGAGTTGGAATCTCACACCGGAACCGGCGACAAGGTTCTAGCTGAGTTTATTACCGATTTAGGTCACTCGTCGGAGTCTGTTGAAGAATTTGATTCTAAATTGAAAGAAAACGGCGCCGAGATGCCCGATTATTTCGTTCGAACTCTTCTCACCATCATTCATGCTATTCTTCCTCCTAAACCTAACAAGGAGAAGGAGAATCAGAAGGAGACTGCTACGTCCAAGACTAAGTTTAAGGCGTTGTCGATTTCAGATGATAGGGATCGTGCTAAGGAGCTTAGGAACGAGATTGAAGCCGATGCTAGAGATAAACAGAAGCAGATGGAGCCGGAAAGGTATGAAAAAGGTTGGGATGATGATGATGGTTATAGAGATAGGCGCAGAGATAGAGAGAGATACGATAGAGATGATAAAAGGGATTATAGAAGGGGTAGTGATAGAGAAAGAGGTAGAGACAGAGATGATAGAAGGGGGAATGATAGAGACCGAGATAGGTACGAAAGAGATGATAGAAGGAGGAATGATAGAGATAGAGATAGAGATAGGTATGAAAGAGATGATAAAAGAGGGAATGATAGGGATAAATATGAGAGGAGGAGGAGGGATGGGAATGAGGAGTATGAACATGGAAGGGAGGAGAATATTGATGAGAAAGGTCGTAAAGAAAGAGATTCGAGGCGTGATGATTCTGGTGAACCTGAGCTGTATATGGTTTATAAAGGAAGAATTTCTAGGGTCATGGATACTGGCTGTTTTGTTCAGTTGGATGATTTAAGAGGGAAGGAGGGTTTGGTTCATGTTTCTCAGATGGCTACTAGGAAGATTGTTAATGCTAAGGAAGTTGTTAAAAGGGATCAGCAGGTTTATGTGAAGGTGATTTCTGTTTCTGGTTCGAAGTTAAGTCTTTCCATGAGGGATGTTGATCAGCATACCGGGAAGGATCTTCTTCCGTTGAAGAAGAGCTCAGAGGACGAGGCTTTTAGGACAAATCCACAAGATTCGAAAGATGGGCCGGTGGCTAGGACAGGCCTTTCTGGGATCAGGATTGTGGAGGAGAATGATATTGGTTCTACGCGCAGGCCGCTTAAGAGAATGAGCTCTCCTGAGATATGGGAAGCAAAACAGTTGATTGCTTCAGGGGTTTTGAGTGTTTCGGAGTATCCGACTTATGATGATGAGGGAGATGGAGTCATGTACCAAGAGGAAGGCGCTGAAGAAGAGCTTGAGATTGAGATGAATGACGATGAACCCGCTTTCTTGCAAGGGCAGAGCAGGTACTCAATGGATATGTCTCCGGTAAAAATCTTTAAGAATCCAGAAGGTTCTCTGGGTCGTGCTGCTGCGCTCCAATCCGCGCTTATAAAGGAGCGTAGGGAAGTAAGAGAACAGCAGCAGCGTACCATGCTTGATTCAATTCCAAAGGATCTCAATCGTCCTTGGGAGGACCCTATGCCAGAGTCCGGTGAAAGGCATCTTGCCCAAGAGTTGAGGGGTGTTGGCCTATCGGCCTATGATATGCCAGAATGGAAGAAAGATGCCTATGGGAAAACCATTACTTTTGGCCAAAGGTCAAAGCTTTCTATTCAGGAACAGAGGCAGAGTTTGCCAATTTACAAGTTAAAAAAAGAACTGATTCAAGCTGTCCTAGATAATCAGGTCTTGGTTGTGATTGGTGAAACTGGTTCAGGTAAGACTACGCAGGTCACCCAGTATCTTGCTGAAGCAGGTTATACCACCAGAGGTAAAATTGGATGTACTCAACCCCGTAGAGTGGCTGCAATGTCCGTTGCAAAGAGAGTTGCAGAAGAGTTTGGGTGTAGATTAGGAGAGGAAGTTGGTTATGCCATTCGGTTTGAGGATTGCACCGGACCTGATACTGTAATCAAGTACATGACTGATGGTATGCTTCTTAGGGAAATTTTGGTTGATGAGAATCTGTCACAGTATAGTGTTATAATGCTTGATGAAGCACATGAGAGAACTATTTATACTGATGTTCTTTTCGGACTGCTCAAGCAGCTGGTGAAGCGGAGACCTGAGTTGCGATTGATTGTCACATCTGCTACTCTTGATGCTGAAAAGTTTTCAGGATATTTCTTTAACTGTAACATCTTCACAATTCCTGGGAGAACTTTTCCTGTAGAGATACTCTATACCAAACAGCCCGAAAGCGATTACTTGGATGCATCTCTGATCACTGTTCTACAGATTCACTTGACAGAACCTGAAGGAGACATTCTTCTCTTCTTAACTGGTCAGGAGGAGATTGATTTTGCTTGTCAGTCTCTCTACGAGAGAATGAAGGGATTAGGTAAGAATGTCCCAGAGCTGATCATTTTACCTGTTTATAGTGCCCTTCCTAGTGAAATGCAATCTAGGATATTCGATCCCGCTCCTCCTGGGAAAAGGAAAGTGGTTGTGGCTACAAACATTGCTGAAGCTTCTTTGACTATTGATGGGATATTTTATGTTATTGATCCGGGGTTTGCTAAGCAAAATGTTTATAACCCGAAGCAAGGTCTTGATTCCTTGGTGATAACTCCAATATCACAAGCCTCAGCCAAACAAAGAGCTGGACGTGCAGGGCGTACTGGACCTGGAAAGTGCTATCGCCTCTATACTGAGAGTGCATATAGGAATGAGATGTCACCTACTTCTGTTCCAGAAATTCAAAGGATAAATCTGGGAATGACTACTCTTAGCATGAAAGCCATGGGCATAAATGATCTTCTGTCATTTGATTTTATGGACCCACCATCACCCCAAGCACTTATTTCCGCCATGGAGCAGCTTTACAGTCTTGGAGCATTGGATGAAGAGGGCCTACTAACCAAATTGGGGAGAAAAATGGCTGAATTTCCTCTGGATCCACCACTGTCCAAGATGCTATTTGCCAGTGTTGACCTTGGATGCAGTGATGAGATATTGACCATAATTGCCATGATCCAGACTGGCAACATTTTTTACAGGCCCAGGGAGAAACAGGCTCAAGCAGATCAGAAAAGGGCAAGGTTTTTCCAGCCAGAGGGTGACCATCTTACATTACTTGCTGTTTATGAATCATGGAAAAATAAAAACTTTTCTGGACCCTGGTGTTTTGAGAATTTTGTTCAATCTCGGTCGTTGAGAAGAGCCCAGGATGTTAGGAAACAACTTCTCACCATCATGGATAAGTAAGATATCTATCTATCTATCTATTTTTATATTATCTTCTAATATTTTGCTTGCTTTATTTTTTTTTCCGTTCTGTTCTCTTCATTTGTTTTAAGGTCTGTTCATTTTAATGGGAAGCCTTGTTTGTATTCAAAATATAACAAAAAGGAAAATTTTTCTCCTTATATAGTGGATGCTTAAGTATTTTCACTTTGGCCTTTTTGTTGCCATTATTGTTACCAACGTTTTTCTGTTATCATGTGGGTGTTATGATGAAATTTTTATGACACTAGTCTTATTGTATTCTAAATCCCTAATTCTGATATTCAGGTACAAATTGGATGTTGTGAGTGCTGGAAAAAACTTCACCAAGATTCGGAAGGCTATCACTGCCGGGTTCTTTTTTCATGCCGCTAGAAAGGACCCCCAAGAAGGTTACAGAACACTAGTTGAGAATCAGCCTGTATATATCCATCCAAGTTCAGCTTTGTTCCAGAGGCAGCCAGACTGGGTCATATACCATGAGCTTGTAATGACAACTAAGGAATATATGCGCGAGGTCACAGTCATAGACCCCAAGTGGCTTGTTGAGTTGGCTCCTAGATTCTTTAAAGTGGCAGATCCTACAAAGATGAGCAAACGAAAGCGCCAAGAGCGTATTGAACCACTTTATGATAGATACCACGAGCCAAATTCATGGCGTTTGAGTAAACGCCGTGCATGATATGCTTTCTCAGTTTCTCTTAATGCAAGGTTGTGGATTCAATGTATGTTGGATTTAGTATTAAATGTAAGTTTTCTGCTTATATTTATGAGTTAAATGAAATTTTGGACGTATTTTTGTTGGTGTTGCTAGTAAAACTTATGATCCATAAAGTTCCATTTTAAATATGCGATCTTATTCTTTTGACTGGCCTTTTTTCAGCCTCATCCCTCCCTCCCTCCCTCCCTCCCAATCAAACCTGGCAGAGAAGTCCGTTTTTACACTAGTTTACATATCATGCATTAGAGCTATTTTGCACTGTTGCATTAACTGTAACTTCATGAATTATGTGATTCATTTAAGTTTAGCAGAAGCTGTACTTATTTATTATAAATAGATTTCCTTTCCGATTTCACTGGTCAGAAAGCCAGATTTTGGATCAACAGAAGTATGACATGTTTGCTTCCTTTTGGACGATTTTATGAATTAAATTTTGAGTATATTTTTCGTACATGTTTTCACTTTTTATCTTTATGCTTAGTTGAAGATTTCTCTTTGACAATGAGCTGGCCTATTGATTCATGTCTTATCAACTTAACAAGCTTTTATCCTGTTTGTTTAGTTTTTTAGATGTTAGTTTCCATGACAATTACCAGTTTGTTGGTAGCATGTAAGTAATTGGTAGCATCAGTGATAGAGCCAATAACTAAAGTAGAATAATGGAAAACCAGGGTTGATGCAACAATTGTATGTTGGTGATAACCGAAATCCTTGTCAAAATATTTAGTTAATCTGTTAGGCATTGTATTGTTCAAATATTTGTTGTCAATAGGGGGCTATAGCCCTGCTATAGCGCCAAAGCGTGATAGAGCAGCCCCTCACCGTCACATCATCTGTCTGCTAACCGCCTATCAGAGCAGCCTCTCACTGCCATGCCATCTGTCTGCTAACCGTGTGCTCTGTGTTCTTCGCATCCGCGTGTTCTGCATTTTTTTATGTTTCTTCCTGCATATTCTTTGATTGTCCTTTGCCTCTGTCTTCATGTGTTTTCTTGGTATGTGTTCTTGCTCTTCTTGCTCTTTTCTTTACTAAGGTTTGTATTTTCTTCTCTTGCTCTATTGCTCTGTTGTGTTCTTCTCTTCCTCCTTTGGAGTTAGCTGTATATAAATCAAAATAAGTCACAATATCCTGTTATTGTACTGCTGGGAAATTAATTAATTCTTTCATGTGTGTTAGGTGCTGGTTGATATTGTAAAATCGGTACAAAAAAAAGGCTTGAAGGGTAAACTGGGAGGCTGGAAAGAATTCTTGAACATTCATGATAAGAAATTTGGGGCAACTATGAGTGATCCATCCAGGAGGTCCCATGAGGATTTGGCTGAATTTCTCAAGACATTCTCAAAGGATGATGATTTAAAGGTTATCTTTTTTTCAATATATTTTTATCTTTTCCTAAAGATAAACTTAATAGCCCCATATGACCACTCTTACCCATTTTCCTCCTGTGCTCAGTATTTTGATAACATCATGCGCCGTCATTCGAATCAATACACCGTAGAGCGACTTAAAGATAGATCTCATCATTCCCCCGAGCAGGTATGTTTTCAAAAATTACTGTTTTACATGATTTTCAATTTCTAAGTCAAATAGTTATGAAATCTTGATTTATCTTCTTTTATTCATGATCCTGCTATGTTTTTTCTAACCTTAAATGTTGGCAGCGCAGAGTTTAGTCCAAGCAACTATTCAGCACCCGGATTACCCAAAGGAATACTCATTCCCACGTATTGACGAGGTCTGTTTTGATTATCCGTTCATGTATTTTCTGGTCAACTTACGTAAATTGAAATGCAGTAGTCCTTGTTGAGGTTATGCACACTGCTTAAATGTGAACTGCTCGACTTGTGAAATACTCATTAATATGTGCATTGGCCTTTCTATTCTTATCTAGGTGAAGATGCCATTAAAGAAGTGCTCAGAGAAATTTAGGATATTTTATTTATTTATTATATAATATATAATAGGATGCTTCAGAAAATAATACAGAAGAAGATTCACCTTAAAAAAGACTGGTCTTATTTTCTTTAATCAAGCTTACGGCGGTGATTCATGTTTCATTACTCATATTTTCTGTGTTTGAAAATGAAATGGTTCAGTAAATTGAAATTATTTGTTCATATCGGTGCATTTACATGTCAATTTAGAAATTAGTCATATGCTTTTGCTATTGATTTTCATAAATGTTGCACAGGGATAAGAAGAAATGTATGATAAAATGAACACATCAATATGCACCTTTTTTTATTGCGGTACACATCAAAAGCGCCACCATTGTCTGGATGAAATTTATCAAATCCATGAATTCCTTCAGAAATCTTGGTGCTGTTGTTACTTCCTCCATTCCATATCAATTGTTGTTTTTGTTTCAAAACTATTATGTTTATAAACTCATGTCCAATTAATAATTTTTCTTTAGGAGAGATAACTTCGAAATCTAAATTGCTATTAACAACAAATATTTAGGGAAAATAGGAAATGGAATGAAGATATTTGAATCCAAAGATATACAATTTATTATTTTTTAAATCTGTGTGTCACCTTAAATATCATAGATATGAAATGGAGGCTGTAGTTTATTATGGTCTGTGTATGCAAGGCACATGCCTAATTTTATTTTGCAATATGCTACTGTCGTTGTCCTTGTTTTCACAATTGACCGTGTTTAGAATTGAGTTTTTAAAAAAAAAAAATTTTGTCATCCTTACACATTTTTACTATTTGCTTTAGTTTAGTTTGTTTATTTAGCAATGATCCACTACAGATTATGAACATATGGGTTATGTTAGTTTTTGTTCAAACAAGGCACTTATTCATTATATCTATGTTGGTTTTTCCGTGGACAATGAAGGGATGGTTAGTGATAACCCTTAAAAAAAAGGCCAAGGGGATAAAATCTACTGCAATGCTTGCTGTTGATTGTGAAATGGTTCTTTGTGAAGATGGGACTGAAGCTTTAGTCAAAGTTTGTGTCGTAGATCACAATTTAGAGGTGATAGTTTGTGCTTGTTCTTCCTTTTACTCTGTCACTCATGTCAGTCCCCTCTTCCCTACCTGCCCAAAGATTGAGTTTCTGTAAGATTGATAATTCTAGAACTTTTCAGGTCAAACTACTCGAACTTGTTAAACCGGAGAAAGCAATCGCAGAGTACAGAACAGAGATTACTGGTGTCTCTTCTAAAGATCTAGAGACAGTGACTTGCTCCTTAGCTGATATACAAGTAAATTTGTGGTTCATTTTGTGGTTTTCCTGTATCATCCTTTCAAATGCTTAATGAAGAAATGTGTTGTGCTTTCCTAGAAATCGTTGAAGAAGCTTTTATCCAGTGGAGCCATATTAGTGGGACACAGTTTACATAATGATCTAGGTGGTAAGTGTCATGTACATTTTATTTTAGTTGTGTCCTTGAATTGACTACTGCTTGTTTCTGTGTATATGAAGGGCATGAGTTCTGCTACATTCTTTTTCTTGGTTTCATTTTATTTACTAATTGTAGTTATTTGCAGTGCTGAAGCTAGATTATCCTAGAGTGGTCGACACTGCATACATCTTCCAACCCATGGATGGATCTACTTACAGGAAACATTCTTTAAATAGTTTGTGTCAGGCAAGTTGCAACTTATTTAAATGCAATGCAAAGATTATGATTCTGTATTAAACACCATCTATGTTAAGAAGTATTATTACGCGTTATGTCCATATAGTTATTTTCTTTGGAGGAATTTCGTTAAGACTGTTGTTTTGAATGAAGGTCGTTTATTGTGCAATTTTGCTTGTTTATGCTTTGGAATTTAAAATAGTACACCGTACAATCTCACAAGCAAATTACGGTAGTAAGATAAATGAAAAAGAAATACTGTAAATATTAATCTAAGATTCACGGCTTGTCACTTTTTGTTGTGACAGGCTGTGTTAGGCCACGAAGTTCGGAAAGAGGGTGCTTCACATAATTGTCAAGACGATGCATGTGCGACAATGAAACTTGTTCTTGCAAAGATCAAGCATGGTGTTGATAAGCCATTTCCGTTAACATTGGTTCAGGAGCCTGTAATTCATTGTATTGTATACATTTTCTGTAATGAGTTGTTGTTATTATACTCATGGTGGTTAGTAACTATTGTCATCATCGTTTTCTGTTGTCTCATTTTAGGTTTCAGAAAGTGAGATGTCGAAGCTGCTTATTCACAGAATACCAACCACTGTGAACAGTGAAACACTACACGAAATTGTTCCTGGAGACTTCACAATAGAACAAAAGGTATAGTATATTAGTATGTCCTATCAGTATCCCAGTATTTTGAGGAAGAGGATCATCAGTAATTATTGGACTATTTTCCTTGTTTGAGTTCTGATCCATTGTAAAATTTGCTGCAGCCTGCCAGGAATGGTCAAGTAGACAAGTATTCTGCCTTAGCTATCTTTAAGAACCAACGAGAGGCACATGAGGCATATGAAAATGTCCAAGGCAGCCAAGGAACGGTATATATACTATATACCAATATTATTGATGCTACTTTGTATTACCGAGTTTGTTTGTTGGTTAGCTTAGGGAAAGAAATTCATAACCATTGATTCCATTCGCTACCGCAATACTTGTCTTCACTTTTTCTAATATAGCTGTTTAAATGTTTATACATCTATGTAAATCTCTTCCCAAAATCTGGTTGCAAAATAACTTATCCTTGAGACTGACGGTTAAACAAAATGGATTCCTTTTTTCCGATTCAAAGTTTCTTATAATAAATCGATGTTGTAGTTTTATATCACTGAATTTTAAGTATGTTGCGTCCCTTTTTGATCAATCTCATACCGGTCGGTAACGTGTATTACTTTATGTTAGGATTCAAGTCGGCGTCTACAGAAACTTGTAAAATGTCGGTTGAGTACGGGCGAAAGTGTAAGTATATATGTTCGGAAAATGGGAGTTGATAATCATCGCATAAAGAGAGAATTACAAGAGGACGAGACACTTGACTCATCCAAGAACAAAAAATTAAAAATGGATCAAGTTGAAAAGGATTATGCCCTGGAAGCTTTACAAGTGAAACATGAACTTGAAAAGAAGGCCCATTTGAAAAAGATAGAAGCACTGAATCAACTTTTGAAAGAAAGTGAATCAGAGCACTTGAAGGAGATTGACGCATTGAATAAACGATTGAAAGAAAGTGAATTGGAGATTGAATCAATGAAGGAACAATTGCTGACTCAACGATCAAAGGAAAGTGAGTTGGAGATTGAAACAATGAAGGAGCAGTTGAGAAAAAAGGACTTTGAAATCAACACTCTGCATAAAATGGTGGATAACATTCAAAAAAGGCGAAAACTATCTACAAAAAAAGTAGGCACGGGGATTTGATAACAAATTCAAGAACATGGTATTCGGGTGAATCTCCTGACTTTTCATTTTTAACCAATTTAAATTTGGAATTGGAATTATGACCTGAGGGACAAACAAGTGGAATGATGTATGTTAACAATCATCAACAACCTGGATAATTTATATTTGTTATATTAGGATTCTGTCTTGCAGTACTATATTACTGTTTGAAACGTTTTATGTAATATTGACTAAATACACAATCTATTCAGTTGGTTATGGTTTCATCCTTTTGTTGTGCAAAGTTTATATGTTCCTTGTATGGTGCAAATCATACATAATTTTCTAGCAAAAATCATATAAAATTTATAGGTTCCTTGTGTTCAATTTATATGTTGTGTAAAAAATCATATAAAAATCATATAATTCTCGAGCAATAGGCAGGAGATTATTTCTAAGTTGAAGGATTATCGGGAAGCTATGAAAGTCAACAAAAGAATCATGGATTGCAGAGTTATGGGGAGTTTATGAAGAGTTGAAGATGGTGGTAGAGAAAGGGTGGTCGAAAGTTATTGTTGAGTCGGATTCGAGAGAAGCCGTGGACATTGTCGTATTATTAGAGTTATATCTTAGAATATGAATAATCAGCACTATAGAATAATTAAGTCCAGCCTTAATTTAATAGAATAAGAAAAGTCTTCCTTAATTGTAGAGCTTGAATGATTCAACTCTTGAATGTTCATCTCCTCTTGTATAAATAGAGCATAATGCTCATTTCCAATTAAGCAATAACAGAATCTGTTTCTCTCTTTTCTCTTTTAGCTTTTTCTCTCTTCTCTCTCATATCTCACTCTAATATGGTATCATAGAGCTTCGGTTCTATCCATGGCAGCGATTCCAGTAACTACAGCTCCGGCCACCCCAACATCTATGTCCTTCCAACTCAAAATCACAGAAAAACTTGATGAGAAGAATTTCCTACTTTGGCGCCAACAAGTAGATCCTTTCGTTAACGCGAACAATCTTCAAAACTACCTTTACCTTCGTGACATACCGAATCAATACCTGACTGATGAAGATCGTGCCGCTGCTCGTGAGAACCCTGCGTATCGCACCTGGATTACGCAAGATCAGTGGCTTATGACGTGGCTTCAATCCACGCTTTCACCTTCAATTCTTTCACGTGTTCTTGGATGCGTTCATTCCTACGAGCTCTGGGAACGTATTCTTGCGCATTTTCAAAAGCTTACACGTGCGAAAGCAAGACAACTACGAGCGGAACTCAGATCTACAACACTTGAAGACAAATCTGTTGGTGATTATCTGGTTCGCATCAAAGCTCTTGTTGACGCGCTTGCTTCAGTAGGAGATCCAGTTCCAGATCAGCAACACATTGATGTGATTCTTGAAGGTCTTCCTCAAGACTTTGCCTCTGTTATTTCAGTTATTGAAAGCAAGTTTGATTCAGTAGAACTTGAAGAAGTTGAAGCTCTTCTTCTTGCTCATGAGATGAGATACAACAAGTATAAGAAACACTCACAAATGGAGGTGGCTGCCTCAGTGAATCTCACTCAAGCCAATTCTCAACCTGAAACTGATAACTCGAATAACAAGAACAATGAACAAGCTGTGAATTCAACCTTTAATCCAACCTATTCAAGAGGAGGCCGTGCAGCTGGCCGTGGTGGTGGACGCGGCCGTGGGAGAGGTAGGTTCAGCAACATTCAATGTCAAGTTTGCTTCAAATATGGTCATCTTGCTGCTAACTGCTATCATAGGTTCAATCAACAATTTCAACCTAACATACCTGCTGATTTTCAAACAATGAACCTACAAAATTTCTATCCGTATCAACCAATTGGTGGACCTCAGTTTGCTCAGCCCATGGTTAACACTCGGTCACGCCCAAGCTATCAACCAAGACTTGCCCCTCTCCCTGTTCCTCAGTCACATATCACTCCCAATGCTATGATTGCTAACACAACTTCAGTTCCAAGCAGTGCCTGGTTCCCAGACTCAGGAGCTTCTTATCATGTTACCAATGCCTCTCAAAACATACAGCAAACCACACCTTTTGAAGGTCCTGATCAGATCTTCATTGGTAACGGTCAAGGTTTGCACATTCACTCTTCAGGCTCTTCTTATTTTCCTTCTCATTCTAAACCTAACACTCCATTAGCTCTTCATAATTTACTGCTTGTTCCTTCTATTACAAAGAACCTGATAAGTGTCAGCAAATTCTGTCTTGATAATAGAGTTTTCTTTGAGTTTCATGCTGATATGTGCTATGTCAAATCTCAGGCTACCAATGAAATTCTGCTCCAAGGTCGTGTAGGAAGTGATGGCCTGTACCAATTTTCCCATCTTCAGCTTCTTAAGTCTCCTTCAACAAGTCAAGTCTCATGTCTCACCTTAGACTCTAATGCTCATGTTTCAAGATCTGATTCCAGCACTAGTGATAGGGTTTCAGTTTCTAATCAAAATGTATCAGCTAATAACTCATATAATTCTCAACATACTTGGCATTTACGCCTTGGTCATCCAAATTCTAATACTATGAGACTTGTTTTAGCTCAATGTAATATTCCTTATTCTAATAAAGCTGAATCTATCTTTTGTTCTGCCTGCTGTATGGGAAAGGCACATAGGCTGCACTCCCCTCAGTCACAAACTCAATATCACTCTCCTCTTGAATTAATTTTCAGTGACCTATGGGGTCCTGCCCCAGTCAAATCCTCCCAAAACTTTACCTACTACATCACCTTTGTTGATGCATACACCAGATTTACTTGGATCTATTTGCTCAAAAATAAATCTGAAGCCTTAACTATCTTTAAACAATTCAAAGTCATGGCTGAATTACAATTTGGATTTCCTATTAAATCTGTCCAAACTGATTGGGGTGGTGAATTTCGCCCATTTACAAAGTTTCTTTCTGATCTTGGCATTATTCATCGCCTAGTTTGCCCTCACACTCATCACCAAAATGGTGTAGTGGAGAGGAAGCATAGACACGTTGTTGATCTTGGTTTAACCCTCTTGAGTCATGCCTCTTTACCTCTCAAATATTGGGACCATGCCTTTTTAACCGCTGTCTACCTAATAAATAGGTTACCAACCATGTCTCTCAATCAACATATACCATATGCTGTCCTTTTCAATCAAAATCCTGACTATAAATTCCTTAAAGTCTTTGGGTGTGCTTGTTTTCCTCTCCTTCGCCCATACAACTCTCAAAAATTTGACTTTAGATCCCACGAGTGCCTTTTTCTAGGGTACTCTACAGCTCACAAAGGTTACAAATGTCTCTCTCCAAGTGGTAGAATATTCATCTCTAAAGATGTTCTTTTCAACGAGTCCAAATTTCCTTACAATGATCTTTTTTCCTCTAATGTTTCTCTCCCCTCATCAACCATTCCATCCTCCTCCTCATCTAAAGTAACCCTTAACACACAAGCTCTCCCTCATGTTTTTCCCGTTCCTACTGCTTCCACTACCTCACACTCCTCTTCTTCTTCTCAATCCAATTCCAGCCCCACACCTATTGTCTCACACTCCTCTTCTTCTTCTCACTCCAATTCCAGCCCCACACCTATTGTCTCACACTCCTCTTCTTCTTCCCAATCCAATTCCAGCCCCACACCTACTGCCTCTGGGTCAGCAACCCCTATAACACAAACAGCCAGCACTAATCCTACTCCTTCACCCTCTTCAAATGCCAACAATCAGCCTACTACTACCACTTCACTATCCTCCTCCTCTATTTATGCTCCTAGGGATCCTAACCTTCAGCCTCTCCCCACCAATACTCATCCTATGACTACTAGAACTAAATCTGGTGTACCCTTACCTCGTCTAAATCCTTCCATTTTTCTTGTCAATTCTGAGCCTAAGAGTGTTAAAACTGCTCTCCAAGATCCTAAGTGGTTTGCTGCTATGCAAGAGGAGTATGGTGCCTTGATAAGGAACAACACTTGGTCTTTGGTACCACTGCCTGCTAACAGGAAAGCAATAGGCTGCAAGTGGGTTTTTCGTGTAAAGGAAAATGCTGATGGGACAGTAAATAAGTACAAAGCTAGGCTTGTTGCTAAGGGGTTCCATCAAGTCCATGGATTTGACTTTAATGAAACTTTCTCCCCTGTTATTAAACCGGTCACAATTAGAATTATTTTGACTCTTGCTCTAACTTACAATTGGCCTTTGCAGCAGTTGGACATAAACAATGCCTTTTTGAATGGCATTCTTGAAGAGGAGGTCTATATGATGCAACCCCCTGGATTTACTGCCCCTAATTCATCTCTGGTTTGTCACTTGCACAAGGCCTTGTATGGCCTAAAACAAGCCCCGAGGCAATGGTTTGAAAGACTCAAAACCACTCTTTTATCCTTTGGCTTTCTAAACAGCAAGTGTGATACTTCACTTTTCATCTACAAGCATCACAATGCTGTCATTTATATGCTGGTTTATGTTGATGATATAATCATCACAGGAAACTCCCCTCCTCTCATCAAGCAAGTTACTCAACAATTAAATCATGTGTTTGCTCTCAAACAACTTGGTGACTTGGATTATTTTCTGGGCCTTGAGGTGAAGAAATTGTCCAATGGAAATCTCCTTCTCACTCAATCTAAGTACCTAAGGGACTTGCTAATCAAAACTGATATGGAGAATTCCAATCCAGTTGCTACTCCTATGGCTTCCTCCACCAAACTCATCAAAACAGGGTCTGCTGCCTTGTCTGATGCCTCCCACTACCGGTCCATTGTAGGGGCCCTACAGTATGCAACAATTACACGGCCAGAAATCTGCTATGCTGTTAACAAAGTATGTCAATTCATGGCACACCCCTTGGAGTCCCATTGGCTAGCTGTCAAGCGTATTCTGCGCTACCTAAAAGGAACTATCACCTCTGGTTTATTGTTCACTCCAGCCTCCACTGTTCCGTTCTCTCTGCAAGCCTATTGTGATGCTGACTGGGCTGCTGACCCAGATGATAGAAGATCCACCTCTGGGTCAGCTGTGTACTTAGGCCCTAATTT